GGAGGGGGAGGGGAGGGGAGGGGAGGGGAGAGGAAGGTTGTCAGGACCACAGGCTGTGTTTGACAGTAAAGTTGGACAACTTTTCTTGACTCTAGTTTTTGGAGGGGAAGAGAGATGATTGAAATGAGTCTGTTCCTCGTGCTCTCCAATGCCTTCCCCCTGATGCCTTCTCTCCCTCCAGCTCTCTTAGGAGGGGTTGCCAGGGACTTGTAGGATGTCTTCTGCAGAAGGTCTCCATTCAAGACCCTTAGAGCTCAGCCCAGGGCTCCTCACTTCAGAAAAGATGGGGCCTTAGAGAGGGGAAGATCCTTTGCTCAGGAATACCAAAGGCAGAACCAGACCAGAACCCAGCTCCCCCCACCCCTCCCAGCCCACCCTGCACTCCCAGGGGCACTTAGCACTGGTCCGTCCTGCACTGAGGAGAGCCCCAGATGTGTGCCAGAGTTGTGTGGAAGGAAAATGGGGATTGCTCTCATTGTTCTCTTTGTGGAGTCCTATCCCCACTCCCCACTCCCGTGAAGATGGTCATTCCTGAATGAAGCTCAGCTTCATCCACAACTCTTTGCCACTGACTACGGGGACAGAATGGGCTCTGGGAGAGATTTCAGGGGTATCCCCAGCATGCCTCCTTTGATTCATAATTCATGATACCACTACTGAGGACTGGCTGTGTGCCTTACCCTCAGTGAATCCTTCCGTGTTAGATGCTCTTACAAGGGCCATTATTCAGCTGAGGAAACTTAGGCACAGAGAGTGAAATGACTTATCCAAGATGACACAGCCACTATGTGCTGAATCCAGAAATCAAAGCGCCACCTTCCACATCTCAGAGCCCACTATACGATGCTTCCCCATGTTTCCTGAGGAAGAAGACTCTTAAATTAGTAATCCCCACCTTCAAATTCACTTTGTAGAAAGTGTGGGCTTTGGAAAGCAGAAGAAAGAAGAAAACAAATCTACCCCACACCTTTTCTGGGGTGAAGTGGATTGAGCCAGGAGGATAGAGCTGCTAGTACCCTGACTGATTTTAACTTGTGTTTCACTTGCCTCTCTAGAGACCTGTGAGTAAATACAATCTTGAGGTTTGATGAAGAATAATGGGGGTGGGGGAAGGAGGGGGAAGGGACTGTTCCCTGGGCAATGTTTTGATGTTGAGATTCGGTTGCCACAGTGGGCTGTTTTTAGCTGCCTAGTTCCATCCCCTCCCCTTTTAACTCTTTTTCCTTCCTTTTGCACATGCCCCAACATGAAGTTTCCAATTCTTATCTCACTCAGCAAAACATACTGGGGCTGGTCTGAATGTAGATTCCCCAGGCAGTTCTCCGGCGTAAAACCTCAGCAATATTCAAGTCTCTGCTTAACCCTCTTTCACTGAGGATTAACCCCTGAAATAACCCTACCCAGGGCTTGCTTCTCAGGGAGGGGAGAGGCATTCTTTTCCTTTGTGTAGAGAAGCAGTTTGGTCTGGGAAGCTTTTCTTGCCCCTCCTCTAGACGATACCGAGTGTGCAGGCTGGACAACGGTGGGTCCAAAGTCAGGGTAAAATGAGGACGCACGGAACTCATACTGATCACGCCTCGGGGGCACACACCTTGGGGCTCCCTTCCCCTGCTCTTTCCCAGTCTCTCTTCGATTAGGCAGATTTCACGGCTCTCCTGGGGGCTGGAGGCAGGGAGGCAGGCAGCGGCCGGTTTTGTTTTCCTTGGATAGGAGTCTCATTCACAAGTGGGTGGACTGACTTCTCTGTCAAGATTCTTATCGCTTTTGGAGTTTCAGTGGGAGAGCGAGGCTCAGACTTCTGCGAACAGCTGACAGCATTTCTATCCAGGTGTGACTTGGGGATTCAAAACCGAGAATTATTAGAATGAAGCAGATTTAATAAGAGGAACGGGAGGTACCACCGTAATACCAGCGGTTGTGAACTTCTCTGTCTCAATTACCCTTCTCGTGCATTGTTTTGTGGAGGCTGGTCTAGCTGTTTGTTTACCTACACCCGAAGCCGAATTTCCCCTTAACAACAGGACCAAAACCTCCACAAATCTGGCTTGGGTGTATTAATGGAATCCTAGTTTAAAGTGTAAACTGGTTAAAGATTCCTGTTGGCATTTCACAAAGGAAAAACAGCGGGCGGGGGGGGCGGGGGTAGCTTTCAAGTGTTCTCCCCCATTTCCTTGTTTCGCTTTATAATGGTGCAATTTATTCGAGGGCAGCGGACAAGTAGATAGGAAAGATACGTAGATAACCTCAAATAACTTTCATGTAAATTTACAAACGCCTTTCCTTTTGCTCTCGCGGTGTTCTAGGGGTTGTGCCGACACGCCCCGGGGTCTACCTGCCAGCCCGGGGTTTACCTGCAGGTGCGTGGTTAGGAGGGCGGAGTGTAGGAGCGTGGGGTGAGGCCAGGAGGCCCGTTACCAGGGGGAAAAGTAAAGCAAAAGCAACGGCCCCACTCTGGCCGTGTGACTTCGCTGGAAACCCGGTGAGGTCCCGGGCAACATCCCGGGATCCTGCCTGGAACCTCTGGGCTCCCGGACAGGCCGGGGGCGGGGGGACTTCCAAGGCGGCTCTCCGCGTTGTCCTGGGCCCCGAAGCTTGGGGGGTGTCCCGGTGAGGCTCGGATTCGGGGGAGAGGAACCTGGATGCGGGGGACTCAGTTTTACCTGTAACCCTGAGTGTATCTAGGCCAGGCTGCTGGGCAATCGGAGAGGCTGGGGAGAGGGACAGATTCCCCGAGGGTGCGGGACTGTGTGTGTGTGTGTAAGGCAGAGAGAGACAGAGACACAGAGACAGACAGCCCCCCTCCTTCACGACTGTTAACACCCGAGGGCTGCAGGTGGGGCGGGGCTGTGGGAGAGATTTGGGCTCTGAGAGCCTTCTAGTTCCTACCCCAAATTACCAAACTATGGCCTTGGGCCGTCTCCCTCCCTAAAGGCAGCTGGAAGCAGGTGCCCCTACACCCCACGGGCGCGCACGGGTCTCCCTCCCGGGCGGTAACGAAACATGGCTGGCCACACAAGCGTTCATCTATATTAGTCCGTGAGCAGTTGACAAGGTCTCTGGTTCTGCCGCTCTCGAAGCCTAGACAGCTGAGGTCGGGGAATCGGAACTGGGAAATCGATTTTAAGGTTCAAATCCAGTTCCGCTGAAAGCTCGGCTCGAATCTGGGCCACAAGACCCCGCCCTTCCCGCCACCGGCTTTAGGGCGAAAAGGATTTCTGCTGCGGGGCCTTATTTCCGCTGCAGTTAGTGCGTCCTCAGTCCAGTCTGTCCGGTCCCAGACCAATCCTCTCTGGGCGCAGAAAAACACAGGAAAGCCGAAGATGGGTTTTCCCTCAACATTGCCAGAGAGCGAGGCGACCCCCGCCCCGCCCCGCCCTGCCCGCGGACACTAAAGCACCTTCTCTTTACTCCTCTCCCTGGCCTCTAGGCTTCAGCCTTATTCTTACCCCTCTCTGAGTTGCCTCTGATTTTTCCAGGTCGCTAATCTTTTCACGGGCTTGTTCGTTTCGCTGTCAATTTCAAACGCTTTGGGGTTGTTAAAAAAATCCTAACCCCATAGGGTCCTACCACTAGGCCTGGCCTCAGAGTCGGGTTCCCAACCTGCCGGGAGACGGTTCCGCGTGTGCGCCCCTGTGGGGTGTGCCGGGGCTGCGGGCGTGGGCGCACAGAGCCCGCGGACCTCTCCGCGCTTGGGTTAAATCACAGACTTCTCACGGTCCCCGCCACACAGGTCACACCCGGCGGGTAACGGTATGGGTTCGCCGTAGGGATGCCTTTGAGCACTTCTCCCACACTGGGGAATAATCCTTCTGTTCCTATCCCGTCCCCTACTTGAGAAGGAGGCTTTTGACTGCGAAGGGAGTATTTTCACGAAGCGCCAGAAAATGACCACGCATTTTAGAGAAAGGTCGCTGCTCGCTTCCAGCCTCACCTAGTCTGGGCAGAGGCCAGGACCCGCCTCTCCAAACTCCCCCCCCC